TAGTAGTAGTAGTAGTAGTAAGTAGTAGTAGTAGTAGTAGTAGTAGTAGTAGTAGTAGGTAGTAGTACTTACTTACTATACTATACTACTACTACGTGTGTGTGTGTGTGTGTGTGTGTGTGTGTGTGTGTGTGTAGAGAGAGAGAGAGAGAGAGAGAGAGAGAGAGGGAGATTTATATTTATGTGTCAGTTGATCCCAAACTGAAATTTGGTTGCATAGGTTTCCACCAATGCAGGTATGGTTACAAGAATGTATCAGATCTTGAAGGAGTCGTGGCTAGATATGCAAAGGCAAGAATACCTCTTGAAGTAATGTGGACAGATATAGACTACATGGATGCCTACAAAGACTTCACTCTCAATCCCATCAATTTCCCAGCCAACCGGATGAGGCAATTCGTAGATAATCTCCACAAAAACGGCCAAAAATACATCGTTATCATAGATCCAGGTACTAAGAGTAATGAACAGGTCTTAAATTTCAAGGAAGTATTAAATGGACTCATTTTGTATCATGCATGGTACCTACCCTTTGATCAACCTTAGTTCATGACAACACTTACCAGGATGCAGCTAATTTCTACCGTCCACCATAGAGATCGAATGGCTGATACTGCAGCATGTTCTTTATTTTCTGCATCTCTCCCCTTCAAACTAGTTTATCATGTGTCTTTTCTCTCAATTATTTATTGGTTATGATAATTGTGAAAGGTAATTATACTATAATTCAGTCAGCTTCAGAAAAAAATTTAGTCTTGGGTCATCACCTTCCATTGAAATGATGAGTGATGATGGGAAGGAGAGTGATTCACAAAACCTTGGCATGGCCCCAGTTGAGGTTCAGTCCCACTCTCTCTTCAGCAATGTCCATTGTCTCAACTGGCGATGATGATCCAATGTCTGACGCACCCTTGCAGGTTAAGCGAAGCACTCCAAGCTTGTGCTTTGCTCAAGTATGATTCTTCAATCGTGTATTAAATTATAATATACTCTGCCCTTCCCAAAAGAGCACTAACTTGATCCCATACCTCAGGCATCAATGTAAACGACACATATGCGACCTACCAACGAGGCAATGTGGCAGACGTGTGGGTGAAGCAGGGAGGCAAGCCCTACCTTGCGCAAGTGTGGCCCGGCCCTGTTTACTTCCCCGACTTCTTCAACCCTGCCGCCTCCCCATATTGGCAAAAAGAGATCTCTGAGTTTCACCTCACCCTCCCATTTGATGGCCTATGGATTGATATGAATGAGGTCTCCAACTTTTGTTCAGGCACTCTTTGCTCCCTACCCCCACCCGGATCCCTATGCCCCCGTCCCGACGCTTACACTGCGTGCTGCCTTGTTTGCTCCGATGAAAATGCAAATGCCCTTGACAAGCCACCTTATGACATCAACAACTCCGGGAACAATCGCCCCCTTGGCAACAAGACCCTACCAGCTAGTGCGATGCACCATGGCAACATCCCAGAATACGATGCGCATAACCTATATGGCCTCTTAGAATCAAAAGCCACTCATGACGCCTTGGCCAATATAACTAACAAGCGCCCTTTCGTGCTCTCAAGGTCCACATTCATTGGCTCGGGCACCCACACCGCACATTGGACAGGTGACAATGCAGCCACGTGGCCAGACCTAGCACGCTCTGTGCCTGCGATCCTTAGCTTTGGGTTATTTGGGGTGCCTATGGTTGGGGCCGACATATGTGGCTTTAATGGCAACACGAATGAGGAGCTTTGCAATAGGTGGATCCAACTCGGAGCCTTCTACCCCTTTTCACGTGATCACTCTGACATAAATAGTATTCGACAGGAGTTATATTTGTGGGACTCTGTTACTCGATCAGCTCGTGAGGCCTTGGGCCTCAGGTACCGACTCCTTCCACATTTTTACACACTCATGTATGAGGCTCACACAAAAGGCACACCGATCGCTCGCCCGCTCTTCTTCTCCTTCCCTAACGATACTACCACATATAATATAAGCTCCCAATTTATGCTTGGACGAGGACTAATGGTCTCTCCTGTTCTAACACAGGGGGCCACGTCAGTTCAGGCTTACTTTCCAGTAGGCACATGGTTCAACCTCTTCGACATGAAAAGTGCTCCTATTACGGTAACAACAGGACAGCAAGTGGTGTTGAATACACCCCTTGAGAAGACTAATGTGCACTTACGAGAAGGGAATGTGCTTGTGATGCAAGAGTCGAGGATGACTACTGAAGAAGTCCGGACTAGTGGGTTCACAATAGTGGTGGCTGTAGGGACTGAGGAGGCGAAAGGAGAGCTTTATATTGACGATGGCAAGAGGATGGAGATGGGAGGAGAGGGGGATGGGTGGAGTTTTGTGAGGTTTTATGGGGGTTTTGTGGGTGGTGGGGTGGTGAGGGTGAGGTCAGAGGTGGAGAAGGGAGGTTTTGCTTCCGGTCAGGGGTTGGTCATAAAGAAGGTTGTTTTTCCAGGATTAGGGGATGGCATGAACCCCAAAACTTTGAGTTTGATTGTGGAGGGGAAGGGTATGGATTTGAATGGTGCTGGGGCAAGTCTGAACAATGGAGTTGCAGAGATCAATGGATTGTCTCTACTGATAGGGAAAGAGTTTGATTTGAGAATGAATATGGAACAAAAAATCCTTATCAACTAACCAGAGCAGGTGCTGCAACATGGCATGAAATAAATGGCTAGGAAGTAGGATGGCCTTTGCCAGAGTTATATTTAGGATGGTATTTACTATTTGTGAAACCATTGAATAATGATTATCATATCTTTATTTTTTTTTGTTAGAAATGCTCAAATACATCACATATGATGGTTAGTTTCCAAATTTGGAAGTTGGAACCAGAAAATCCAATTTGCATGATCATAAGTGAATCAATGAAGTAACATTAAATGTCAAAAAATAGAACTGAAGTTCCGATTTGCATCTGTTCTCACTTCTCAGGGTTACAGCCTGCAGAAGAAGCTCAATTGTTGTAGGTCTTAAAAAACTAGAGCAGAATTCATTCTTAAATTCATTTAAAAGGTGCCTAGTTAATCACCTGAGGCAGCCAATGTCAAAGACAATGTGACTACTACATGAAATATGCTTTTAGTTCTCTCTTGTGTATATCAATACTCCAATTCCTCGGTATTCCAAATAGCATTTACCAAGTAATTTATAACTTGTTTATCTTTATTATACGAATTTCTAACTGTTATTAATCTTAGTTAGTCATTAGACGTATGACATTCTAACTATTTCTAAAATTTCAAGTATTTTCTGCACAGATATTAATATGAACAGTCCAAAAAAAGGAAAAACAACATAACTCAAATTATAACTAATTAACAGTGAAGAGATAGATACATAAGTGTCTCTCCCACACACACACACACACACACATTGTAAGCTGACATCAGGGGAAGACTCCTACCAATACATTAAATTGGTTCAAACAGGGAAATATTTGGTAGAGGCCATTTGACCCCACAAGTAAAAGAAACCCATCAAACAAGATTCAAGATAAACAGGCCCCCAACCAAAGCACATAAAGGTAGAATGATCACTCTCCCTCCCCAATAGGTTCTTGCCTTCAACGACCTTTCTACATTCTAGTAATCCCTGCCTCGTATTTTATCTATCTACTTCCAACATTTGCAATGTCACAGTCCATCATCTTTCTTTTTCTTTTTCCTTTTCCTTACAAATGTCATTTACACGGTTTAACTGTCAACAGTGCATTTACCAACAACTTTCTCCATAAGCAGTCTCTGTCATTTACACAAATTGCATCACCCATATCCCAACCAAAAGATTTTCATCAAATCCCTTTGCGAAGTCATTGTGCCATAAGGGCTATAATACTGACAAATATCCAAAGTTTTGACAACTTAGAACTTACCCACCTAAAAGAAAGCAAAAGGATAAACAGAAAATAAAAAAAGAAAAAAGAAGATCAATCCCATCCATCCAACAAGAAACAATATAAAAACAGAAAATGACAGAAGAAAATTGATTCAAGCTACTTGCTAATTTCTTTTCATTTTCTAGTAGTTCACAATGAGGAATAGGTCTAAGAATTCTCACCAAAATGAATAAAATAAAGTTGATCATGTTCCCATACCTTTTCCAGGGGGAAAACACCGGGCCTGAACTGCACCACTTGCCTCAGAGGTGCTTCGCACTTGACAATAGACCCTATTCTTCAAGACTGGAAAACTAAAACCTTTAGTGTAAGGAAGGCGAACTCCTAACCTCAAGAGTATAATATGAACCTTATCCCCAAAATCAGATATATGTGGTGACATGTGGATCCAACTGTCTCCAGCCATGCTCTTCATCACTGGAACAGCAGTAGATCTCACAAAGTCCAATGTGCCGCTACTTGTTGCTGCAAAAGCTGCAAATACAGTGGGCCTTAGTTTCAATGGCAGAAATACATATAGTTTGCCTCTTGACTTAGGGATTAAAGCATAAGGGCCATAAGACTATGGTATTGGGCTTGAATCACAGCTTACTCACGAAAAGGAATGAGTACCCATGTAACGTCCATAAAGGAAGAGACAGAGAGATTTACCAAGCCAAAGAAAAGAAATATAGAGATTTGAATGCGTGTGACCTATGCATGAGGTGCTCAGTATGTAAGGGCCTTAATGCTATGATCTAAGGTTTGAATGCCAATACATACACCCAAACGAGAAAGAGACCATGCCTGAGACGAAAGAAAAAGAAAGATCTGAATGCTTTAGGGTTTTACCCTGTAGCCTATTTAAACTAAACCTTCTAAATCTAGAACTATAGGTTGCAGGTTCACATTTACAAATAAAAATAACGGAAGGACAAAAGAAGAAAGAACCAGCAGACTAGTTAAAGTTGTTGTTTCCATGGGATTGTTTCTTGCCACAGAAATAGTCCTTGCATGGTACAGTGTTGAGTGGATATTCAAATAAGGGCTTTAAAATACAGTTTGGCCTCCACTATATCGACCTGAATCGGCCAAATCGGGCTCTCAGGATCGACCAAATCCGAGATCCAGCCAAAAAAAAATTGAAAATAAGGGGCAAACAAGAAAAACACAGATCATCTTTCCCATCTATGCTTGTTAGAAAATTTAAATCATCAAACAAATATATTATAGCAAGGGAATAGTGGCTTTTATCCAAAATAAGGCCAATTCCGGATTCAGGGAGGGAATCAGCCTAACGGGTACCAAATACAATCCAAATCGATGATTTTTAAAACCCTGACACAAATCATGAGTATATACTTAAGAAATCAATTTTTTGTCACAATGCTATACAATGTGATTTTGAATAATTTGCAAAAGGCCCAAAAGTACAGGAAAATAAGATTACAAGGATGAATGGGAAAGACACACCATTGTAGGGCATCTGAATTAGGCAATTAGCTGGAAGTCCAATACCAATGCCTGCTAATGTAATACCAACACTAAAACCCACTCCACAACCAGCTCCAACATAACCAATAACCTCTGGACCAAAACCGGGACCCCATCCAACTCCACAGCCAAGGCCGATGCCCATGCCCCAAAAGGCTCCATAAGTGGGGTGCACCGGGTTCCACTTCTCATATCTCCTAAACAAGCCTTTTATGATCATGATGACCTGCAAGCCATGCCGAGGGAGCAAGACATTTTGATTTTTGTTTACTGTTAACAATTAAAGTAAGAATCAAACAAACAAAACTAAGGGCTAGGCCAACAAGTGCAAGAAAGTAAAGGCCATCACAACCATTGAGATAACAAATGACAAAGAGAATAGCTATCAAGAAAAGAATTGGGTTTCAGCCCAGGATTTACGTATGAAGTTTAAATGGGATGCCATAGAAATAGCCTACATTATCAAGAAACTCCTACGTATTGTATACATCTACATATGACATCCAGCTACCAAATAAGTGGGTTCTGGCACTATTTTAAAATGATTTTTGATGGTTTATACAGAAACTTTACTGTGTTATTCAAAAAATGCAATCTCTATTCACATCAAAGTAAGACCAATCTCTAGATTATACTTCAAAAATCCATTCTAGAACATGTTGTTTCACCATTTCCCCTAAATTACCTGTAGTGCCTAAACTTTCCTGCAAGTTTACCTTGAGAAACATTAAACAAGATACTAAGTTAATTTGAACAGGACAAGTATTTGGAAGAGTTGGCCTGCTCATGCATCTGTTGGTTTTCAAAGGATTTAGGATCCAAAACACATTCCATATCACTGTAAAATTCATTTCTGCCCAGATCTGTGAATTTGGAGCTCAAAATGAAGGCCGCAAGGACCAATGGACAGGAGAACGGAAGGCATTTTCTGGTCCCCCCCTTCACCCTTTTTTTTTTTCTATTTTCTTTCTTCTTTTTTTGATCTTTGAAGAATTACAATGTACAGTCCAAGAAAAAAGACAGAAATAGACCATTTTTGTGGATTAAAATTCTTTTTTTATTCAGATTCACAATTGTGGTGGCCCAGATGATAGATTGTAAAGTTAGGATCCAAAAACCATCTCCAATATGGAATTTGAGAGTGTGAATGCCCTGTAACAGGTGGTCCCAGGATGCACCTAAATCATAACATTTGCATATTCTGAAAATATACTTTGAAATATATTAATATATTAACTGATTTGACTTCTGCTTTGAAATAAAATCAGGGACCCAATCCAGATATAATTGGTATTCATATCTACACAAAGGTATGATCAGCCATTTATCACACTTTGGCAGTAGAAAAAAGGCCCACATCCATCATACATGCATTAAGTGTAAATGGATAACCAATGATATTTTGACGTGAACTACATTTTGATGTTGATAAGACTGGAAGACCTTGATAGCCACCAGTGCTCCAGAATTTTGTATGGGCCCAACTTAATATCCCAAGAAGTAAAGAGTCCGATGTCAAAAGATATAAAACCAAATATATTTGATTGTTGATATAAAAACAATCAAAACTTTGATTGTTGAGCTTGGTTTTGCATCAGTTTGGTTCATTTCAGGTAGTAATGAATAAGGTGCATCAACTTCTCCACTGGTCATCTCAATGTAGCTGAGCAAAGCAAACATATGAATAGAATCTCACACTTAGTTTGATGGAAACCGTGATCTTATGCATGAGTCAAGTTGAGATCGATGGTGAAAACAACAACTAATAGATGATTACCTGGAAGTAGTATATAGAATCCACCACACAAGGGTAAATGCATGTCCAGCACGCAACACACTCATCAATATGCTTACTATATCAAATTAGTTAAGAGAGAGGAAACCCACAAATCTCTCTCTCTCTC